TTAGTCACAGTGTTCCCTGGGGTGATCATTTTTGATCCTTGGAGACGAACTTGTTTCAGATACCAGTCCTGGGAGCGCTTTAGGTTTTTAGGAGTGCTTCCACAGAGGCTTCTGTTCTTTGTACACTGTAGATTGAGATTGCCCTTTGGGGTCGATTAATTTATTGTTTGTTCCAAACCGTCTCCTAGATGTCAGTGGCCATGTTGATTTTTTAAAATTTTCGTCTGTTTATTCTTTCAGAGAGCACGAGCGCACGTGCGTGAGCGCAAGCCAGGGAGGAGCAGAGAGGGAGAGAAATGCCAAGCAGAAGCTCATGGTTGGCACAGAGCGTGACGCGGGGCTCAGACTCACAAACCGTGAGATCGTGACCTAAGCCGAAACCAAGAGTCCGACACTTCACCAACTGAGCCACCCAGGCACCCTAAGGGCCATGTGGATTTTTAGGAAGCTCTCTGACGGTAGCCATTCAAAACAGATTTTACGGATAGACTTCTATATTGCTGAACTGAGTTCTCAATTTGCTTTTAGTCAAAGGCAGTGTGATTTGGGGAGGATGAGCAGAGGCTGCAGATGCGAAGGAAACCAGGTGGGGGTCAATCTCTTGAGCTCCTCTCTGCCAAGCGCTTTCTAAATGCCATTTGATTTCATCCTCGTAACCATTAGGAGGTCCACACTTAATACAGGTGAGGAGATGGAACCCAGCGCAGGAAGCCCTGGCTCATGAGTGACAGCAGGGATTTGGACACGAGGGCCTCTGGGTATAAACCGAGACTCTAGATGGGAAAATCGTGGGCTGAAGAGGGGTCCCGGCTGAGGGGAGGACAATGGAATTGGCTGAGGTCCTGTGGTTTTCCGATTTGGGGTGAGGCAGTCAAGTCTTAGTGTCATGACTGGATCATGTGGGCCTCCGGCCACCCTGGGACAGGGGCAATTAGACATCCTCTCCCAGATGGGACCGAGTCTCAGGCTGCCTGTGTTTATACCATAACAGCACACCCAGTTGTGCTAAATCCTCATTTCCAGTAGTCTCTTGTCCTTTACCAGGGAGGGATAGTCAGCTATGCAGCCTCTCTGGCTGTATCTTTTGATATGTTGGTTCTGAGCACACTTGAATGGAAACCGTTTGGGAAGGTGAAAGGATTTGAAATCACATCTTTATGGCAGAGGATGGGGCGCCTGGTGGCTCAGTTGGTTAAGTCTGACTCTGGATTTCAGCTCAGGTCATGATCTCATGGTTCGTGGGATTGAGCCCTGTGTGGGGCTCTGCGTGGAACCTGCTTGGGATTCTCTCCCCACACCAGCCCCCCACCTACTTACGTGCACATGTTCTCTCTCAAAATAAATAAATAAATGAACTTAAAGAGGGAGGTGCCTCCAGGGGAACACATGTGCCTTCATAGATTTTTAAGGGACTGCGTTGTTTTTTGTCTTCAGGAGGCAGAACTGAAGTGAGGGTGATGGAAGAACGTAGATTTTTGTTTGAATACAAACATGGGTTCAGAACAGGGTAGACCAAGCATGGTAACCACTCTAAGAGCTAAAATATTCTTCCCTGCATCAAGGATCATCTTCAGTCTTTTATAGATGAAACCCAGGAGGAGCCCAGAGCGGGGAATGGTTCAGCAGGCTCCCATCTGTGAGGAACATATTCTTGTTTAGGGCCAGTTAGTGTTGGAGCAGGAAAGCAGCACATCGGTGGTCAGTTGTTGCTGGACCATCTGAAGTACCGGGTCTCGCGGGTCAGCTCTGCTGGCACTGTGCGGCGTGGGTGGGCAGGGACACGAGAGGCTGACAGGAACCAGCAGAGCAAGGTGGCCTGCCAGAAGCCGGGGTTGAGGAAAAGCAGCTGTGGAGGGAGGAACACCCGAGAAGGGGTGCTGATGCGGGGGCTAAACGTGATGGCTCACTTGTCGCAGGCCTGGCACGGTGATCTCACGCTTAGCCGTTCGGTTTTGTCGTTGACCTTGTGGGACGGTAAGAGTAAGGTGTAAACCCTAGAAAATATTTACCGGAATATGTTTTCAGCCAACATGTAGCAGACGATGACGAATCTTCCTGGAGTGTTAACGTTCCAGAAGAGCTCATCTTGCAGTCTTCGCGCTGTGACACTGCAGGCAGGCATTCAGGTGCGATGCTTGTGAGCAGTTGATTTGTGTTCTGTACGTATGAGGTCACCACATACTAGACGTCGGGCCGGTGAGCAGTGAGTGATGTGCCTGCGTGAAGGTGACCTGGGCCCGTGCGTGCCTCGCGCCCTACTTAGACACAGGGTGTGCCTTCAGAAGGTTGGGGGTGGGTCTAGGGTTCCAGTCGTAGCCACAGTAATGCTTGAAATTAGATTAATAACCATACTGTAGAAAACTTGGATGTTAGCTTATGATCCTTTTTGGTATTCATTTTAACATCATTATTTTACCTTTAGCCATGGGATGATAATTGAAACACTTCGTTTCCCAAAATGTACCATTTTCTTTGATAGGTTCTTTGTGATAGGTTTTTTGATACTTGGGAAGACATTTGATAAAGGGTAGTTTAACATACAAAATAGTTGGTCCTTGAGACGAAGCTTCTTGGTTGTCAGGAATGTTTTTATAGCGTTCAGTTCCCTTATGTAAGGTCATTGTCACACCGCAGTGTTGTCACAGTACAAGATGGGCTGCTCTGTCACTTGCATCGGCTGAGAAGAAAGGGAGCTTCTGTTGCCAGTTAGTCTTTTTGCCACTTGGGAACATTCTGTTGGGGGAAGACCGAGCCGCATTTCGTTTTGTTTCAAAATACGCTGGGTTGCCATTTCGGAAAGTTGGGGAGGGTGGGGAGGATGGGCCCCAGGCTGTTCCCAGTGGGGGCTGGCTTCCTCCATTCAGAGCCCCACCTGGCCCTTTGGGGATCCTGCAGTCACCCCCTCGGAAGCCTAGGGTATCTACTTTCAGGGCTGTGGACAGACAAAAGTGGAAAATGTTCCATTTGGACACCTAATGCAAACCTCGAACCGCCCCCCCCCCCCCGTGATGGAAGATGGGTAGAAGAGATAGGTGGGCCTGCCGGGTGGCGGCCCCAGCACGATGGGGGACGTGAGTCCCTGCACCGAGGGGTGTCTGGTTGGAACCTCCTGGGAGCTCAGTGGGCAGCTTTCAGGTGGCCTGCCTGGAGAACCCTGGGGTCCGGTCCAGGGTCTCTGCATCACGGGCTAGGATGTGAAGATCTTTGAGGTGCCCTGTCTTCCCGCTCTCCCCGATCCCCTCTGCTCCTGCCCCACAGCTTTCTCCACTGCTGTCCTCTCGCTGGCCTGTCTGTGGTGCGCACTGACTGTTTTACCTGCTTTGTCGTCCCTCCGCCCGCCTCCTGACCGTCTGAGAAGAGAGATTTGGGTCTGTTTTCATCACTGCTGTATCCCCAGTGCACAGTAAGCTCCAGGAAACATTGTTGCATCAAAATGGAATGATAAACCTGCCATTGGAAGTGGTGGTGGTTTTTCATCTTTTGAAACTTGAGTTGTGCCCTCGGGGGTCTTGTTTCTGTGGCTGATGTGGTTTCATAGCACACCTCCGTCCTTTCCCTTGCCGGCTAGAGATGCGGTGCCCGGGCCAGCAGATGCTGGGGATGTGAGCGGCCCAGCGCCCCTGGACACTGGTGAGGGGTCGGTGGAGCTGGCTTACCCGCATCCCGGATACTTGTGACGCTTCCGGGAGCCTGCCTTTCCAGGAGCCACAGGGTAAACTCACAGGAGACTTGAGGCTTAGCATGGGTTCGCACACCAACAAGGGGGGTTATGCCACTGGCCAGGGTTGGTCTCAGGAATCCCTCCCTCTTTCCTTCAGTGATGTGCATTTTCCACCTTGCATCAGGCTCTAAGCCGCTGGGGCATCCTGAGGACACTTCGGGGGAAGTGGCTCCGTGCTAAAACAGCAGGCTGCTTGTTGCGGGCAGTTCCTGACAGATTCGGGCTCACCGCTGTGTGCCCTCCAGGGCTCTGTGGCCACGACCTGCTCGCTCAGGACCCTCTTAAGGGGAATGGGACCCGCACGGAAGCAGGTGCCCACGGACCTTCCTTGCTCGGAGATCAGCAGGTGGCTGGCGCCTGGGTAGCAGCTTGTCTCTGTTGGCTGTTGAGGTGACCTTCATCGTGGGCGTGTCGGTGATCTGGCAGGAAGTACTTGATCGTACGTGATCTGAACTAGCGAGGAATCGGGTTTGGATTTGGGGTGAAAACGGTCTGTGTGTACCTCCTCAGGGCACACGAGTAGAGGTGTCTGTGTGTCCGTGCCGGTCACTCTCTGGTCACAGCACAGGGTGTGTTGTGGTTAAGTGTCGGAAATGTTGGTTGTCTTTAGGGTTTTAACGGTTCAGGTACGTGTGGGTCTTGGTTTGCTGATCATCGTGTTCTCTGTCGTGGGTGATGTCCTGGGGGCCTGCTTGCACAGCTCGGACTGGACTTCTAGGGACGCAGGCAGGTGACTCCACCCTTGCCAGACTCCCAGGACTCGGGTGAGGTGAGAGACAGAGTGTGAGTGGGGCAGGGGCAGAGAGAGAGGGAGACACAGAATGTGAAGCAGGCTCCAGGCTGTCAGCACAGAGCCTGATGCGGGGCTTGAAGTCATGACCTTGAGATCGTGACCTGAGCTGAAGTCAGACACTTAACCGACAGAGCCACCCAGGCCACCCCTGTTCCAACTCGATGCCCCGAGTAGGTACCGGCTGTTGAGGCTTCTCTTCCCTTGGGGACACAGCCCCTCCCAGGCCCCTGTGCCACCACAGTTGGGCATCTTTCCACTCTTTGATTTTTCTGTGAACAGTTGCACCATATTTTGTGTGGGTGGCACCCTTCACCCTTTTCACAGCGGCAGTTGTGTCCCGCTGCGTGGAGGGACACGGGCTGGTTCTCGTCAGGGTTGCGGGGAGTGTCCTGCGGGCCGTTAGCAGATGTGTGCACGTAGCCCGCAGGACGGACTTCCAGAGGGAAGTGTGTACGTTGGAGAGGGTGGGTGGTTTGTGCTTGACGGATGTCGGTGCCCTGTCCGGAGGCTCACAAGTTCTTGCAGTGGCGCCGTCTCAGGTTTTTCTCCCTTGTAAAACTGCTGTTCATTCGCCATCCGTCGGGTACTGTAGGTGCCAGGGACACGGCGGCAAGCAAGAGGGACCACGTCCTCACGGCGTGGCGCTGACGTGGCAGTGGGAGGGCGCTAACCCCTGAGCAGACTCCCCGTCCTTCGTCTGATGCGTTTCTCTTGTGACGAGTGAGATGAAGCCGTTTCCTTCCTGTAACTTTCATGCCTGTGCCCTGCTCCTCTGGGTTATCTGTCTCCTCCTCTACGTCAGGGCATGCTCAGCCGCAGCCCTGTTGACATTCTGGCCTGGAGGACTGTCCTGTTCCCTGTCGGAGGCTTAGCGGCCTCCCTGCTACCTAGATACCGGCAGCAAACAAAAATATCTCCAGACGTAGTCGAATAGCCCAACTTCTAGAAAAGCCTGAGACCCTTCTTGCCAGGCGGGGCTTGCGCGAAGGATGTGGGAAACACACGTGCTCTCCCGAGGCCTGCAGCTGGGGAAGTCCCTTCAGATGCAGAAGGTTATGGTTTACAGATAAACAGCTATGATGAGAAGTCCCATTTATTGAGACGCTTTTAACACTTAAACTTTTTACTTTTACTCACCGTGAGTTTGGAAGCTTTCAAGTTCTATGCCGACTGACTTTTGCACATGACCGCCACAGACCCGAGAGTGGTTATCAGTGGTGACAGTGTGTCGTGGGCCCTCATACCTCTGGTGGTTATTGTGAGAGGACCTCTGTCCCCGTGTGGGTTGTCACAGGGGCTGCGCTTCGTGTACATCCCCCCCCCGGTTGGTTAGGAGACACGCTCGTCCCTTTCCTTATCTTTGATCCAGGTTACAAGAGTCTCCAGCACTTGGGGACTATCTGTTCTCGGCCCTCACAGCAGACACGGTGCTGCCGGCCGCCCCTGGGCTCTCGGTTCTGGTTTCCCCGCAAGCCCCACACCACAAGATGCTGGGGATGGGACGCGTGGCACTCCCCGTGGTAGAGTGTGCTGTTAAGTCCATGGGAGCCTCTCAGGAGTCAGGAGATAGAGGTCCTGTGAACCTGAACCGTCTACAGAGGTCAGGGTAGTGGTCAGGCATCAGGAATGTTCCAGAAGAAATCTTCTCTAACCCTGCATGTCTGGCAGGCCCCTGAGGGTCAGAAAGTTTCTAGAGGGACGTGGTATACAGCTGTGGTGCTCAGACGCCACCTTGTAACTGGGTTGAGACCCTCTGTCTTCCGTCCGGGTGGGCTTCATCCAGATTCGCGCAGTATGCTGCAGGATTGCTGACGGTTTGTGCATGCGATGCCAAAAGTTACAGATGTAAAAGTGTGTTCTGTAGCATCAGCAGTCACTCTGTTTCCCATGTCATATCCCTTAGTTTGAGAGGTTTGTGTCTTAATCCAACTGTGATTTCTTTCTCTCTTTCTGTGTCTTTCAGCAAACGGGGATTCAGTGTCCGGTCCTTTGGAACAGGAACCCACGTGAAGCTCCCAGGACCAGCACCGGACAAGCCAAATGTTTATGATTTCAAAACTACATACGACCAGATGTACAATGATCTCCTTAGGAAGGACAAAGAACTGTATCCCAGTGGGCTGCCCCTTTACAAACCCCATGTGCTGGTCCCTGGCAGGTGTAATCTGTGACGTGTACGTCACTCTGACCTCCGGTTTAGGGGCGTCCGTGAGGTGGGCACGTAGTGGCCGCCTCCGTGAGGTGTGTGGAGTCACCCCACACGCGGTGCAGAAGCGGACACGTAGGGTGTGCAGATGGAAGCGTGGAGCGCACCTTGACAGAGTCGAGGAAAGTTCCGATTTAACATTAAGCAGAACAGCTTAGATGAGGAAAGCGGAAACCACAGAATTAAGTTGCTTTTCTCACTGCAGGGCTGCCCACCGCTGTCCTCTGCAGGTAGGTAGGCGTGTGCGTGGGTGTGCGTGTGTGCGCGCACGTGTGAGCGCGGTGTGCGCTGATGCGTATGTAGACAGGCCGCTTCACACATCTCTGCCACGTTGCCACAGGGTCAGATTAGTAGGAGGGCCAGGTTTGCTACCGAGGGAAGCATGTCAGAAGCAAATAATCTGAGAGAACTTTATTTCATTCCAAGAAGAGGCAAAACAGACAGGATCTGCTACTTAAGACTCATGTGAAAGAAAAGGTATTTTTTAAATAGGTTTTATGAACGTGACCTCCGGCTGTGCAGTGGTTAAGATCATTGTTGCCTGGCTTTTGTCCAGGGCGCTTCATGATCACCCTGTGCTGCTTTAAAACTTCAGGGCCTGCCTTGTTACGGTGAGTGATTTATAGTTTTCAGGATGGAGCCCAGACATGTCCCAAGTGCAAGGAATATAAACACCAGACGGAGAACTTTGTCTTCGTGTTGGTGCTCTTACCATTTTTAATAAACTATAAATGTTTTTTTTTTTGTAAATCTGTAGATTAATTAGTTAGCTGGAGTGTGGCTCCACGTGTCATTCTAGCAAAGTGTAAAACTGGACCCTGACGGTTATTCCGTCTGCCCCCTGTGCTCTCCTTCCTCACCTACGATGAGAACGTTCTCAGAGGGCACTGAGGCCACAGTGCCATAGCCTGGCACGTGGGGCTGTCTGTGAGTCGCTGTGGATGGTGGGTCACCTGTGACGCACCGCTCCCAGGAGTCCAGGACACGTGGTGCAGTGGACCCGGCGTCTTCCTGGGAAGTCCTGCGTGCCCCCTTTCTCAGAAGCCCAGAGCCTGCTCTGGGAAGAGACCCCGAGGATTTCCAGTGATCTGTGCCCCGGTCCCTGCATTGCAGTGACGTGCTCTGCTTGTGTCCTTGGGCCAAGAAAGAAGGCTGGGCTCTGGCTCACCGAGAGCAGCATCTCAGAAAGGCTTTCTCCCTGAACTTCTCCCTTGCGTTGAGAGCTGGTCTTAAGTCTTGCAGAGAAGTGTTGACCACAGCCCCTTTACCCTGGAAAAACCTTTGACCTTAAGTCAAAAACCTTTTTGTAGCTTGCTATAAACTCTGCATGTGTCGTTAGGCTTATCTTGAGACTCTGTTTTTGAAGATTACTCTTCAGCTGGTACCATTCATCTTTAAAACTCTTCTGTTCACGAGGGAAATGAAATCCGAGAATATTTATTTGTTCGTAGTCCCTTAATCATTACAAATTAGGCCTTCTGACCATGGAGTTGACCATGATCCCCGTTTCTAGGAACAGGCAGCATGTAACCACGTTTTAAAAAGACCAGAATGAGAGGGTTTGGAGTAGGAGGGTTGATGTGATGTCCTGGCAGTTCTGAACGAAAGAGCAGAGACCAGCTGCTCAGAATTCAGAATCTCCTTTGTAGGCTGACTTTGTACAGAGGCACAGTCTCTCCACAAAGCATCCAGTCCAGGAGACAGCCACACGTGTGTGCCTTTGCTGCATTGTGGGGAGGGTGTGGCTGGGAGGGACACGGCTGTTCCAACTGTCACTGCACTATTTGCCACCTGAGACCCTGCGTGGGAAGGTCATCTTCACAGACCTCCCCTTTTGATTGCCCCTCGTGAGGCTCTGGGAGGGACACCTTTGTCGATTTATTAGTCACTTCTCTTGGGTGGGATCTCTGTCCTTTAGGAAGGGGGGTTGTACTTGGTTAGCTCGCCCAAGTACAGCCCTTGGCCAGTAAAGGAGGGACACGTGTTCCAGGGGTGCCCCGTGGACACTGGCAAGACTCAGGACAGGGGCATCAATCTTCGTGCATGAAGGGAACAGGGAAGGAGGCGATGGCGGAGGATCAGCTGTGTGTTGGGGTCAGACACCGGGCTTGGGAGGTGCCCTGATAACACGGGAGGGGATACTTGGCCGGTAACGGGGCACATCCAGCTGCAGGCGGCCTGCCCCTTTGGTTGCTTCCCCCATTGGCTTTTGTGCGCAGATAAGAGCTAAAAAGCCAGATCTGTAGCTCTTACGGAAGTGACGGTTAGAACCTGCGGTGGAGAGCTGGAAGGTATTTTAGGATGTAACCCACAGATAAAACACCACATTCAGTACATGCTCGAATTTTCAAGGGAGAGAATGACTGGACAGGAGGAAAATGGCACATGGTGAGCAGAGCTGGGAGGTGAGGCCGAGTGGCCCAGTGGCATGGGTCGGGCGCCCTATGGGTGTGCGTGCACAGCGCTCCTGAGGCAGAGTCAGGACGCGGTGCTGAGCGCGGGGCTCTTGCTAAGTTTTGGCCGGCAGGCCTGCTAGTGTGAAAGCACTTTATAGGTAGGTGGTTTTCTCTGAGCGGGGTGGGCCTCGAGGGGTTGGGGGCCTCTTGCCTGTGGCTCCCGGTGATGCTTGAGCGGCCAAGCCCTGGTCTGCTGTCCCTGTAGGACCTGCCGTGGGAGGTGCAGCAGGGCAGGGGCGTGAGGTGGGATACAGACCTTGTTCAGCTAACCCTAAACTAGTCCATAAAGCTGGACTGGTCTGGTCACCAGTTTCCTGTGAGAATTGTCTACCAATAGTACTGGGAGTCAAGTTTACAGAAGAGTTTTGTGGTCAGAGAATCCATGCAGCACACGAAGCTCACGGTCTTGTGGGCCTTCGTGTACTTCATGGGGCCGTGCAACCATCACCGCGGTAATCGTGGACTGTTTTCACCTACCCCCCCCCCCCAACGTCCCCCGCCCCTGGCACCCACCGGCTACCTTCTGTCCAGACGCTTCATCCAAGTGGAGTCCTGGGCCTTGTGCCCTTTTGTAACGGGCTCCGCCCCTCAGCATGTCCTCGAGGCTCATGGGGCCTGTATCCGTATCCAACTGTCCATTTTTAGACATGATTTTTTTTTTTCCCTCTTTTAACCTTAAGTTTTGTCTTCCTTTGCCCTGGAGTTATTTTGAATATGGAGCAGCTTTAAAGTTAGGGTTTCGCCCTGTGAGCTTGAGCACGGCTCCAGGGCTGGAGTGGGGCAGGTTTGGAGGCTTGGCTCGCACTTGCCTCCAAGGCATTTCCTGGGGGGGGGGGGGGGGGTGAAGAGCCCTGGGCCTGCCTGGAGCACCTTTCCTGAACCGGAAGTAAGTTCTGCGACAATAGCGGATCACTGGACCCGGTGGAGGGGAGGGCTGCAGTGTCCTCCTCGGGCCTGAGAGTTTTGTGCGTTCAAATTAGTGCCTGTTTGAAACCTTTGAGTAGCTACATGCTTTGTGAACTACAAAATCACTTAAAACCACTTGTCTTTAAAAGCAAGTCAGTGTGTGGCTCTAAATATAGTCAATGACATTTTTAACTGGAGACCAGTTGCCCCCTAAACATGGATTTGAAATGCAAATGGAACTATCACTTCCTGGATCCTGGATCCGCCATATTCTCATTTTTCTCCATGTTTTGTAATTACCTTCTGGGGTTAGCTTTTTTTTAACCATTTGTTCCTTTTCATCCTCATTTGCATGGTCTTTTAGGCCTTGGGTTAATTCATGTGTACAGTTGACCCCAAACAGCATGAGTTGAAATTGCCCAGGTCCACTGGTGTGCAGATTTTTCTCGATAAATACAGTACGGTGCTGTAAGTGTATTTTCTCTGCCTTGTGATTTTCTTAAATTTTTCTCTAGCTCCTTTGTTCTAAGAATACAGTATATGATACATACAAAATATGTGTTAATTGACTGTGTTCCCAGTGAGGCTTCTGGTCAGAAGCGGACTGTTAGTAGTTAAGTTCTTGGAGGGTCCCGAGTTATACTTGAATATTTGCCTGCAGGGAGCACCCCTCACTGCCCCCCCCCCCCCCCGCCCATGTGGTTCCAGAGGCCACTGTACAGCCCGTTCTTTACTGTGTACTTGCCTTGGGGTAAAAGGTGAAAATAAAAATGATCTCTAAGATCGTAAATCCCCACAGCCTCCCGACCTCTGTCTTGGGTCCGAGGTCGGTGGACACGGGAGCTCAAGAGGGGGTCTGTCCTCCCTGAGGCCCTGTTGCTGTGTGACAGGGCCTCTACCCTTTTCCAGAAGCTTGTGGTCTGGGTCTCCTCAGGCTCTTGTGTCCAGCTCAGCTGAGCCCGGTGGGGAGGAGGGGGATGCCCGCCTGCCGGTCCCGTAGCGGGAATGGTTCCCGCAGCTCCAGCCAGAGCTCTCTCGTGCCTGCCCCGGGCCCGGCTCCACTGTCGGATGAGCGCGCTCACCTGGCTGGTGGTCCCTGGCTGCCCCCTGGCTCACTGCGCTCGAGGTGCGCCGAGGCTCTCTTCGCTTCTGCTGCGTTGCACCTTGTCTCATTTCATGCTGGTTGGCAGCTCTTTAAAGTAGTTTCTAAGTAGTTTTTGAAAACAGTGTTTGTTTAACAAATGTCTACTTCTTAAGCCAAACACTGATTTCTAGAGAAACTCTGATCTAGCGTTGCTGGTATCTAAGCTTTCAGGTCTTAGAAAAGCACTTGTGCTTGAAGTGTGCAGATGAGGAGCCGGAACAGCCACCACCGTGTCGGAGAGTGTGTGCCACCTCGGCTGGGGTAGCTGCCAGGGGTCGCTTGCGTGTCTGGGCATGACAGAGCCAACACTGACCTCGCCCGCTGCTTCCAGAGCTCACCCAGGGCTGGGGGCAGGCCTGGTTTCCCCAGCCTGCGGGAGGTGATTTGCTGATGCC